GAAGCACTTGGAAGGGATTACAAATGTCAATGTCTCAAATGACTTTGCTAAAGCAGCACCAGAATGAGAAGTACAGAGTTTTGATTTTTTAGATTCACCAGTGTCAGGGGAGTAAAAAGGGAAGGTGAACGAAAAGCCATCCAACAGCAGAAAAGTGTTCCCTCTTCTTCAATGGGAAGTGAGCCAAGCAGCAGTTTAGAAGATATTATATTAACTAATCCAGAACATCTATAAGTCTATGATGGAGGTTTTAAGAAACATGATACTTGAAACATCAACTAATGTTAATTGCATCCCCTTCTTGGTGTCTATATGCATCTCTGTGGAGGTGTTTAAGAAGTTTAGGAAATTAGAATTTATGCCAACGAAATAAAACCGACAAAGACACTGCTCTCCAAATTCAGAAGTCTTTCAGTTGTCTAGAAGAGATCCAAAGTTAATATATTTAAGAAGTAATGTCTCATAAACATCTCATTATGGGAAAGATAGGGGTAAATAAGATTTCACTTATTTTGAATCAATTATTGTATTTGAGAAACTGCTTTGGCTCACTGGGTAGAGGGCATTGTTTCCTAACAATTCAGATATAATACTAAATGTGGACAAATTTGGGTTTGAAAGGACTTTGGAGAAATATTTTTAAAGATTTTAGATGAAATATAAGAAATCACTGTCTAAGGTAATTAATAATCTTGAGCTGGCAGGGTTGAAGCTCTCATTGGACAGTTAATAGTGTTTTCTGAGTTATCCATAGAGAACACATCATGTCCATCAGGAGATGATCAGCAGGTCCAAAAAGATGTTAATTTTTTATCTATTGACACTATAACATCAAACTTTGAGTATCAGGAAGAAAAATATCTGCTACTAAGAAAAATAAACAGGATGGACGGTGACAGAGAGTGCTATAAAGTAGTTTGGACAGGGAGATTCTCAGTGAGGAGATGACATCTGAGTGGACAACTGAATTTAGTGACGGAGGGAGCCATAGAGTTTCCAGAGGAAAAGCATATTGGACTTAAAGAAGAGCAAGCACAATTTAGGAAGAGACTCGCAGCAAGGAAAGTTAAGAGGCATTCCAGGGTGGCAAATATTATACATGTATAACCAAACCTTTATTAATGTAGCTCAAATGCATCAATTCTGTACTAGAACAGCAGGAGACGAGTCAGGAGTGGCTGTGAACACAAGAAGCTTAATGTTGCTGACTTTTAGCAGTGAATAAGAATAAATAGGAAAGTTTGCTCATATCCATTCAGAATTCATGTAGGCCATCTGGACGATGCTTCTGGATTAAATGTTATGAATGGCAACTAGACCTACATATGATACAAAAATGAGAGCTTGAAAGGCTTATGGTAGGACACTTGCTGAGGAAAAAAAATATCTATGACCATTTCTAGCTAGAGCCTCTCAGAATTGAAGGCCTATCAACCTGCTGTTATACATAAGTATATGGTTCAAGTATATATGATTCTATGAGCATGTAATGGCTTAGTTGTGAATTAATATGAATATATTTAAAATGCACACATACACACACACACACACACACACACGCATACACTATCAGATTGTACACTGTGGCAGCTTAAGCCTGAAAGAGAAAAAAATACAGGAAATGTGTGAGTCACATAGAAAGGCACATTGTTGCTATTATTTCATAACTAGTTATGGTAAGAACCAGCTATGATAACAAGACATGAAAGATTTTCTGTTGGCACAGAGCTCTAACTATTTAGGAAGTCAGAGTTTCCTAGAAATAGTGATATTTAAGGGATTAGTTGAATTACAGACACACTCTTCCTTTACTCTTATCCTGGTTAATTCTTACTAATCCGTCAATTCTAAATTTCCTGAAAACTTTTCAGTAACTGTTTTTGTACTTTCTTATAAATTTGATTTTTTCTGTTATTATTCTATTTCATTCAATCCCATTTTTCATAAAAATTGACATATTCTTATTATATATCTATTTGTATTTTATTCCTTTTTAACTCTTATCTTTACAACTAGGCTGTAGGTTCTGAAGATTAGACACTAAATTTATTTTGATCAAAATACTCATCAGAGAATATTTGTTGAATGAATTAAGTAAGCATCAACTTGGATAAGAGTGCAGGTCAAGTATAAAAAATAGAATTATTAGGAAGAAGTCATGAAAAGCCACAAAAGAGAGATAGAGCCTAACATATTCATGAAACTGAAAGACATTTCTTTCAGGTAAAGTACCTTGAGCAGGCAGCAGTCACTTGGGAAGCACAGCTGTAAAGATTAACAGGAAATCACAAAGGGCATGAGAAGCAGTTTACCAATACAATGTAAAACCAAAGATGCTTGTGATTTTCAACATTTAATAAAATTAACAGGTCACTTATTATGAGGCTTGGAGGATTGATTGTGACAGAACTGGAATCTGAGAAAAGAATAAAGTAAACAATACAGTGATGTAAAAGAAGTCTGGGTTGATTGTATTGCTAAGGTGACAGAAGACAAGAAAAGTGAATGGACTCAGGACAAATTCAGGGTTGTAATTGAATTTCCATGAGAATTAAATTTAACAAACTTCAAACTAAAATTCTGCAAATTATGAATATAAGGATAATTTATAAATTTTAAATTGTTAGAAAATACTAGAAAGAAAAATATTAGCAGATTACTGTACTAAATATGATGATGACACAAAAGCATTCTGAAGACCCCATTATAAATACTATTCATATTTAGACAGCACATGTTGGTTCCTAGTGATTTCCTATTCATTTTTATATTCCCATAAACATACCTTAGTAATATTTTTACTATAATCATATTAATCATTTAAATTCTTCCATATTTTTCCTTGTCTTTCATTTCTTTATTATAATGATGAACTATTTCAGACATTGAGTGTAGAGCCTTTATTTCTTAAAGTATTCATTCCTTATAAAAAATTAAATGTGTATTATACATGTAATATTAGTCGTGTTTATTTAGTTTTTTTAATAAAATACATTGTGTGAAAATTTTTTTTGCTAAAAAGTCAAAATAAGGAAGATTCTAAATGACAGTATAGTTTCTCATGTTTATACTGAACACTTAATACAATTTGAGACACTATGTTGTATATTTAAAGAGCATACTCTTTTCAATGAATCTAAAAGGAATTTTAAAAAAACTTCAACTTCTTGCATATACATTCCTATGAACTTCTTTTATCTGATATTTAAAGTTTTCTCACCCAAAGCCCAATCTTTAATTACAACATAATTAGAATGTCAAATCAAATACATTTACTTGTTTAGGTTTCCATTAAACCTGAACAAGTGCATCAGGTGATGATAAATGTTTTGAAGAATTTTATCTAGAGCCTTATTAAAACAAAGGTCATCCATAAAACAAAGTTATTCAGAGAGATTTTTATTTGCTCTAGAGTAATCTAAGGCAAAGTAAGACCATCATTCTTTGCAAAGAGGAAAAAAGAGTCATTTCCATGAGCTTACTGAAGATTTTTTCTATTTTATTTTAGTAATAATAAAGCTATCAAGATGGAGTTTTCCAATTATAAAATCAGATGGCTCGTTGGGCAACTTAGTAGTGGCACTTGACAGAACTCTTGTGCTTAATTAACTCTACTCAAAAAATTAGTAATGTGTGTACACATACATGCATATATGTGTTTATATATAACCCTAAAATATTACATGTAGATAATATATATTTTATATTGATCTTACACACAAACACACACACACACACACATATTAAGAGAAAGAGATTACTTTTTCTGAGAGTATAAGAAACTATGTTGATGATAAAACATTGTAAGAAATGTCTTTACGGGGCTGGAGATGTGGCTCAAGCGGTAGCGCGCTCGCCTGGAATGCGTGCGGCCCTGGTTCGATCCTCAGCACCACATACCAACAAAGATGTTGTGTCCGCCGAGAACTAAAAAATAAATATTAAAAAATTCTATCTCTCTCTCTCCTCTCTCACTCTCTCTTAAAAAAAAAAAAAGAAATGTCTTTACACGGAGAAACACATTATGCCTCAAAATGTTCAAAAGAGTGAGAAAACCACAGGATAGCAAATCCACCACAGTACAATAGAACAAGCAAGCCTACGGATCAGGCATTCATTGAATGCACTAAGGTGTAGAAATCTCAAGAAAGCTAATAGAAAGTTTCACTGCACCTTTGGATATCATTCAAACTAACACAATCTTCTGAACAGTAGGAATAACATTAAGGACATGTCATAACTGCACAGGTGGATACATCACACCCAGATTCTACAGAACCATGTAGTCCTTCTGTGCTGCATAATCAAGTACTATGGAAGAATGTCTTCCTCACAAATAAATACACAACCAGAGTGCAGAAAAAGGATATAAAACGCAACAGTATTGAAATAGTCTCTTGTTGTCTCCATATTTGGCAAGTGAGGAGGATGCTTTAAGCAGCATCTGACACTTTAATGTTAGGAGGTGACAATGGATGAATGTGTCTTTGTTGAACCCATTTAGCATGGTAATGAGAAAGATATTGCCATAGATAACATCTGTGAAGTAATATAAAAGGCCACAAAGTGTCTAAAAATGATGGCAAAAGGAGATTTATTCTTAACTCAGAATGTTGAAATTACTATGAAGCTGCCTCTATTTTTTTCCCTACACAGAATTAACACTAATGCCTAGCATAGAAAGATATATGAGGACTAAATTGGGCAATTACTGCTTTCTATTGACCAAACAATGTTGCCATGCAATCAGCCCACCAACATTACCCAGTGACAATGTGTTTTCAAGAAAGTAAAAAATGATCGTAACTGCTTAATAATGTATTAAATGACCCATGAAATATACATTAACCCAGTATTTTATTTTTTTCCATTCTTAGTACATATTCAAATAACAACAGGAAAGTAAGAATAAGTTAATCGTCAGACTTTAAGCACTTTTTTTAGGTTAATTTTATAGTATAGCAAAGCAAACATTAAACTAACATTCATTAACTACTTACTTTGTATTCAGTCTTTGATGAGGAAAATACACTTTCCGATCAATTTGTGTATCAGGCTGTCGTTTCTACTGCCATAAATTCCACCTTTCTTGGGTGAGCATTCTATAATCAACTTTCACCATTTTTTTAAATACATTTCTTCTTTAACATTTTGACATATCATTTTTATCTCAAAATCCCTGATAAAAATGCCTTCTCAAAGATCACCAAAGGACTTATCTGATGGTATTCAAGTGATCTCTTTTGTGACTTCACCTCTTGGAACTCACCAATAGTCATCATCACCCATCTTTAGCCTCTTCTTGGGTTTTCTAGCACCAATTCCTCTAGCATTTTTCTGAACTAGAGTCCACATATCACAACAATCCTTTGTGGGTTTTGTCAACATTTTCTTTTAAAAATATGAATCTTGAGGTGTTGAACATTTTTCATATATTTTTTGACTATTCATATTTCTTTGTGAAGTGTTGTTCAGTTCCTTTGCCCATTTATTGATTGGGTTATTTATTTTTCTGGTGTTATTGGGTTATTTATTTTTCTGGTATTATTTATTTTTCTGGTTTTAGAGTTCTTTGTATATCCTGGAAATTAAATCTCCAACAATTAGATAAATTCAAATTAAAACTACTCTGAGATTCCATCTCACTCCAGTCAGAATGGCAGTTATAAAGAATACAAGTAACAATAAATGTTGGTGAGGATATGGGGAGATAAATAAAACTCTCATATGTTGTTGTTGGGAATGGAAATTGGTGCAACCACTATGGAAAGCACTGTGGATATTCCTTACAAAACTTGGAACAGAGCCACCATTTGACCCAATTATCCTACTCCTAGGTCTATACTCAAACAACTTCAAAATAGCGTACTACAGTGATACAGCCATATCCATATTTATAGTTGCTCAACTCACAATAGCCAAGCTATGGAAACAACCTAGGTGTCCTTCAACAGATGAATGAATACAGAAAATGTGGTATATACACACAATGGAATGTCACTCAGCCATAAAGAAGAAAAATTATGGCATTTTCTGGTAAATGGAAGAAACTAGAGAACATCATGCTAAGTGAAATAAGCCAATCCCCAAAAAACAAAGGCTGAATGTTCTCTCTGATTTATGGATGCTAACCCACAACCAGGGCAGGTAGGGAGGGGAAGAATAGAAGTACTTTAGATTAGACAAAGGGAAAGGAAGGGAAGGGTTGGGTGAAGGGAAGAGGAAAAATAGTAGAATCAATTGGTTTTAACTTTTCTAACCTTGTATTGTTATACATGACCAGGGTAACCGCACATCATGTACAAAAACAAGCCATGGGACCCTAAATAGAATAAATTTCACTCTATGTGTGTATATTCTGCCAAAATATATTCTACAGTCACATATAACAAATTTTTTTTAAAAAAAATTAAATCTGAATCTAAAATTTTTAGAGAATTAAAAAAATTGGTTACAGCAGCTTAACACTAGTTTATATGTCCCATGAAATATTCACTTAGTTTTAATTTTTACCTTATTACAGATTAAAATAAAAATAGGAAAGTAATGATAAATTTCGAATTTCTTACTTATAATAAGGAAGTAAGAGAAAAATTACATTTCTACTAAGAAACGTAATTCAGGGCAGAGTAAAGGTGAAATTTCCCAGCTCCATCATCTGTCTTTAGCAAATATTCCAACTTCGCTTCTTACTTTGAGCATTGCTATGATAAATGCTGCCTTTTCTTCTGGCTTCTAATTTCTGGAACACCATATGGGATATGATTTCCCATATCCCTATGAAAGTTTTCTCCCAGGCTTAGCTTTCCAGGCTCAAGTCATTAATATCACTAAGAAACCCCTGCAAAAAGGAAACTTTAGACCAATCCGCACTCTTCCTGTCTTTCTATATCGCTTCCTTTACACCCAACTTACAGCCACAGTGAAATTGTAGCATTGGAATATGCATCTCTATCATTTGGGCCCAAGTCTTTAAAAATTGTCACCTCCTCAAAGATCATATTGTTATTTGAATTTCAATCCTCATTAGTTGTTGGTAAGAGATATTCAATTAATATTTTTAACTGTGTGAATGAATGAATGGGTTCTTAATGGAGGCCATGCATGAATTATGGGTTTGTTTGAGCCATCACAAAACCAGGAGGTTGCTTTTCTAGAAATTCTTGGGTGAAATTCCCAGGTTGGAGAATGCCTAGGTTATGCTGACCCCCTGCCTTAGCTCCCAGTCCTAGGTTCAAATGCAGCTGCCGCGGAGGTAGAGTTGGGAGGCCTAAATTTTTTGCTAGGCTCCAGCCCAATTGCTTCTGCCATCTTCTTCCTGTTTCTTCAGAAAGCTCTTTACACTGAATCTTATTGGTTTTCCCACTCATTTAAATAAAACCCTCAGACTTCATTTTGGGGCATTAGACCCAATCTCTATCAGAGTTGGTCCCCATTGGATCCCTCTGGTTTACTTATTTTCATGTCTCATCTTATTTCTTAAATTTCACATACCTTTAATACTTCTAATCTGACTCACTGCCCTAGCTCTGGGAAACTGAGTAAATGTCACGCAGATGGTGACAGACTCTAGACTTATAACTGCAGTTAAGAAAGTAAATAAGCTATACAATGTGTCAAAATGCATTCTACCATCATGTATAACTAATTAGAACAAATTAAAAAAATAAAAATAAGAAAGTACGTAAGCAATGGAATATACAATTTTTAAATCACACTTGTATTTTTCATACACTATAATACTCCACTGTCTATTTAATAATATTGCTTTCTATACCTCCAATTGAATTCATTGCCGGTCATCTCTACTCAAAGAGCAGGGTGTCTAATAATCAGCTGCATTCCCTATCCCTGCATTCTTTGCATGTGTCAAAAGGCAAAGGATATTCGTGAAGTTATTATAAATTTAATAAAATGTAAACTCAACTAGTATTCATATTACTAGGAATATTATTCAGTGGAAATTTGGAGAAAACTGCATTTTATTTCCCATGTGTCAGGGAAAATAAGAAAATTTTCAATTTGAAATGCCATATACCAATCTCTATAATTTAAGACACATTTTATAATATTGCCAAGAAATATAACTTTTTTTTCAAAATGCATATATTGCTTGTTCACTAACTTGTATTTTAGATACCTTCCCAGAAGGAATAGAACTATCATTACAGTGAACGGTTTACCACATGGCAACTCTACTTAGTGTTTTCTGCTCTTTTATACTTATTTTTTCCATGGTGCATTGCTTTTTACATCTGTAATTGTTCAGCATTTCAGCAGCTGTCTGAGGTGTGTGAGAATGTCAGAGTGTAAAAATGTGGCTGTCTCTGTACATTATAAGTCTGCATTCATTACACAGATGTCGATCATGCTGTCATCTCACAGGGGCACACCAACTTAAAATTTCCCTAGTTCAGTTTTTATGTAAGAAAAAATGTATTATGCAAAATGAAGAATTGGCAGTCAAGAGGTAAATGCTGCTAAATGTCAGTTGACAAAATCATGCATGCTTGCACACGAGAAACTATATATTTTTACTATATGCCAGTATATTAGCTGGAAGAACAATCTTCTAAAGATTAGCAAAAATCTGACTACATTCTATTATTCCTTCGAAGCAAGCATCTTTAGGAGAACAAAACTTGATTGCCTGCAACTTTTTCTAGTTAGGGAAGGTTGTCTGTGTTTAACAATATAACCTAACATTTTTACTATATCATCACATTAATACATCTTGGGGGAAATTTTTAGACAAGTAGAAAATAATTCATGAAAATATCAAAACATTTCAGCTCAGAAAATTTTAAAATGCATGATGAAATACTTTATAAAATTCACTATAAAATTCCAAACTAATATTTAGCCATTTTCCTCTAGTGATTTTTTTGTTGTTGTTGTTTGCTTGTTTTGTCTTTGCTTCTGTTTTGGTACTGGGGACTGAATAGAGGAGTACATTTCCACTGAACTTCTTTCAAATCCTTTTACATTTCATTTTTTTAAATTTTTATTTATTTTTATTTTTTTTTAACTTTGAAACAAGTTCTCACTGAATTGCTGAAACTGACCTTGAACTTGTGATCCTTCTGCCTCAGCCTCCTCAGTCACCTGGATTACAGGTATGTGTCACCATGACCAGCTTCTAGTATTATGTAGAGTTTCATTCTTTTATTTTCAATTTATAAATGCTATCACATACACAGTGCTGTACAGGATATTTCATGAAATAATCACTGATCATTGACACATTTTTAATAAAATTCAATTATGCAAGTTGTGAAGTATTTTTGTGTTTTCAGATTAATCCGATTGTTCCAGTTTTCCATTGTATCACCAGTATGATAGTTTTCTAAACTATTTAAAGTTTAGGATATATTTTATTATCTGGCTGTGTAGTTCTTCATTTTTTAATCATTATTGTTTATTTGGATTTTACATATGTTTTGTCCATGTAAGACATTTCTATCAATAAAAAAAAATGGCCTTGGATTTCAGTTGCAATTTCATGAAAATGTGGCATTTATTCAAAATGAATTCCTTTCTAGTTATCACTTAATGAATAACAACTATCCTCAAAACTTGGTGACTTAAAATAATAACCATTTTATCACGTCCTATGATTTTGTGGGTCAATAATGTGGACAAGGTGTGGCAAGGCAGTTTTGTTCCATGTGGTTTCCACTGCTACCATCTGGTGCTACTCCACTGTGATTGGGCTGCTCTGCGTATTAGAAGACAGTTTTCTTCATTGCACTGAACACCTTAAAATATGTGGTTAGAAAGCTACCTCTCCATTTAGTCTCGGGGCCTCATCATTATGGTCTCTTGATTAAGATTTTTGAACTTCATTCACAACATGCTAGGGTCTAAGAGACCAAGGCAGAAGATCCAGCCTTTTAAAAGCTACATTTTCCTGTCTTGTATATTTAAGAAGAACAAATAAAAATAAAAGCTAGGTATTACATAGCAAAGATCCCTTTTGCTATATAGTTATGCCCCAGCACCAAAGGGGATTCGTTCCAGCATCCCCACAGACACAAGGATGGTCCAGTTACTTATATGAAGTGGAATAGTGCTTGTATAACCTATGCACTTCCTCCCATATATTTAAAATCATCTCTTGATTACTTATAATAAATAATACAATGTGAATGCTATATAAATAGTTTTTACACTGTATTGCCCCTCTGCCCACAAATTATTTCTACTCTCCCAACATATCAAAAAAATA